CAAAGAGCACGGGATTCGACTGGCGTACAGAAGATGCCCCACGATTTTCCGCATCCTAAGGAACGATAAGGACCCTCCTGATCGCACCAGACTCCCCGGAATCTACTCTATCCCGCTCCGTGACAATAGACAAAACGCGGAACTACTATACATCGGCTCAACCAAACGCTTCTTAAACACCTGCCTACGTGAACACCAAGCAGATATCCGGCACGGGAGGCTGACCACAGCCCTAGCCACATATGCATCGGACCCCAAAATCGAAGTACACTTCGAGAAGGCTACCATTATTGTCAACACGCCCCACCAGCAGCAACTCAGATGGCTGGAAGCAGCGGCTATCCACAATGCCGACCGGCTAACCACCTGCATTAACCGGAAAGAGGAACTAACCTTGTCTCTGGCCTGGCAATCACTATTGGACGCCAACCCACCGCTTCCCCCCCCACCGCACGGCCGTGCACACAGGAAGCGACCCACCCCCTCAGAACCAACACCCGATCCTAGAGAAGAATAATATACACTCCATCCGGGGAATTCTTTCAGCTGACCTGAAGAAGAGCGAATAGAATGCTCGAAAACGTTTGTCAAGCGATAGTTAACGTATACGCATAGAGCGCCGGTCACAGGTTCCGATAGTGTGACAACGTTTTATATTTAAAATGGTTATTAAAAATAAAACAACATATCTATAGTTGTACAATATAGATTATATGATAATTACACCAATGCAAAAGCAAGGTAAACTAAGTGAAACTCAAACCAAACCACTTTCCAGGCTGTAAAAATGTGTTAGAGCATGCATGTTCATTAGCACACTTGGATTTAATCTTGGGAGGAGCAGAGTTAAACAAACTTTTTAGTGCAAATTCAATAAAATTCCTACCTTATGTAACTGCTAATTCATAAGTAGCATAGAAATATACATGACAGTATAAATAAACGGAATATTAGGAAAAGATTTTTGGAAAAGTTTTTAATGTTTCTTTCCTTTTTCTTTGGAGGTTGCCTGGGCCCCTTGGCCTCCCCTCTGGATGCATCACTGGGCAATGTTAGTCCTTAAAGTTAATATATTTTGCTTTGTTACCTGATAACAATCTTAGAGGTTTTTTTGAACTCTTTCTTCCCTGTGGGCACTAAGAGGGCCTTATTTAGCAAGCCAATTATGGGTTCAGCCAGGCCCACATATCCGGTCAGACCACTCCCTGAAAAATTCCTGGGGATTTTTTTACCCATCCAGATTTGATCCCGGGTCCCCAGACTTCACCTTGACCACTCGGCCAAAACAATCAGAGGTTGGAAACATTTAATTTCAGCAAAATCATTTTAACTATAAAGTTATTTTTGCTTTATTTAATTTCCAAACTAATCTCCAGTTAAATATCTTACTAACTTAACACAGTTAAAAATCTCATTAATGAATGTTTTGTATTGAAAAGGAAAAAAAATAAATACTGTATTCATAAAATTAAAATCTTATTAATATGAAAAAATCAAATTTTAAATGAACATTTACAAGTTACTGAGCATTCTGCACCTCTGCTCTGATTCAATAACTAATTCTTGCTGTGTGGCCACATTCTTAAACAGTGCAATGCTGTCTCAAGCATTGCATCAAATCATAAAATGCAGCATCTCAACTAGTGGAATTGTTGTCTAATTGGAAGGTGTAGATGACATCGCATTGTTTAATAGTGTTGTCGTAGGAGGGAACTACACAATTGTTCTAATAGAATAATTTTTATTTCTTTTACTTGTTTCCATCAGCAATAGTTTTAATAAAAACAAGTTATCTAAATATATAAAATTACTTGTCCTGACTGACTGAATGACTGATTTGTCATTACCCAGAGCAAACTGCTGAACCTAGAGGTGAAATTTGGTACACAGTTAGGGTACATCATGAAAATGCACACTAAGAAGGGAATTTTTGGAATTCCCCCACAGGGAGAGAGGGAGAGGATTAAGGCTTAACCAGAAGAACGGCTTCTACTGTACTATTTTAGATGCAATTTTTCATTTTCAACTATGTTTAATTTTCATTGAGTACTTAGGTGTATTAAATTGATAAATATTTATAACAATGTCTGAAATGTTATCTATTTCGATTTTAAAAATGTTCGAACCGTTTTCAATTTGAATTTATTATTGCATATTGGTTCGATTATAGAACGATTGTAAACGTTCCAGAAAATTGATCAAATTGAAAATAGTTTGTTTGATTCTCGACAATTCTCATCGGTATGTGTTATATAACAATTACTATGGTTGTTGAAATACTGAATATAAATAGGGTTTGCTTGCAAAATCCTCACGGGCACAGCCACTAGTACACAATTAAAATTGATGTAATTACTATGTAATAAAAATTGAGACATTGTAATTTTATTTTTATTTGCAGCTGCTTCAATTCCGCTGTGCTTATAGTGAGCTACCACTGGTACTGTATTTATAGCAATAAATAGCAACTGATAGCAAATATGCTGTCTATTGAAAATGTACAGCTTTTTGTTAACTAAAATGCTGTACATTATTCAGCATGGCTACTTGCTATTAAGTTTTCAGCAGATGTACCAAAAATGTATTTAAGACCACAGAGGAGGAGAGGGCAGGACCAAAATTTGAAATTGAGGAAGCAGAACTAGAATTGACCTCTTAATAACTTACTAAATTATTAAAGTAAAATTTAAAGCAAAGCAAAGCATTAAGTTTTATATTCATATTTAACATTATGACAAAAAACTTACCTCATCAAACCAAATAACTGGAAAATATGTCACATTGTGAAGATATGCAAAGTGGCTATTATAAAAAAAATTTGTTTTAAAATCAATTATTTATAATTCATTAAATATTTTATATAAACTAATATAGTACATTACAATAGAATCTCTAAAAATTTGTAATTTGACACAGTTAATATTTTTTACTTTTCAATTTTTTATATTCAACATCTATTATTCATAATCTAGGATCAAGAATCAGAATGTGCATAGTTAACTTCTAATACTTAATTTCTGAAGCAAACTGAATGCAAATTAACTTAAATATAAAAATATTTATTTAAAATCAAATTTGGTTAAATATTTGTTTTTTTATTATTAAAAAAAATTGATTAAATATGTTATAATTATATGAATTTATTAACATGCAAGATGGAAATTATTTTCTAATATAACTGAAAATTAAGATGTTTATAATTTACTTTTGATAAAAAACTAATGAACGTTATACATACTTAATTTTAGTAAAATTTTGCAGAATTAGATTTATTTGTAATTTCATAGCAACATTTATTGGCATTCCCAGATTCTGAAAATAATAATAATTATATAAAATAATATTTAAAAAATAATCTCTGCTTTATATAAATAATAATTTAATGTTTTAAGATTTGTTATATCAAACTGAAAATGGTTTAATAAATATTTTTTTTTTATTTGCTACAGTAAACCTATTTCATTAAATTCATTAATACAGTAGGGGCTAAGCCCTTGACTGTACTCAGCAGATCAACACCAGTATTCTGCATTATTTTGTGGAGATTTTCACAAATTATGTTGCAATTTATGATTCTTTATATAAATATAAAATTAATACTGCTGATTAAACAAAAGTCAAAGAATAAATCAATAATAAAACAAGATATGTTGATTAAATCAAATTTTTGACCATACAAATAATTTTAGGTCAGTTTAAAGTCCTTTTTTAATATTCCAACTAGAGACAGATGGTTAACAACTTTAAAACCAAATACATGATAGTCAATTGTATATTATATATTTTTTTAGTGAGTGATATTGTGAAGAATTTTTAATGCTATGTTGTTGACATTGGATCTTCCAAGAAAAGGTCGGCGTCAATTGTATATTGTATATATTTTTTAGTATCATATCTTTGGTTTTAAAGTTGTTAACCATCTGTCTCTAGTTGGAATATTAAAAAAGGACTTTAAACTGACCTAAAATTATTTGTATGGTCAAAAATTTGATTTAATCAACATATCTTGTTTTATTATTGATTTATTCTTTGACTTTTGTTTAATCAGCAGTATTAATTTTATATTTATATAAAGAATCATAAATTGCAACATAATTTGTGAAAATCTCCACAAAATAATGCAGAATACTGGTGTTGATCTGCTGAGTACAGTCAAGGGCTTAGCCCCTACTGTATTAATGAATTTAATGAAATAGGTTTACTGTAGCAAATAAAAAAAAAATATTTATTAAACCATTTTCAGTTTGATATAACAAATCTTAAAACATTAAATTATTATTTATATAAAGCAGAGATTATTTTTTAAATATTATTTTATATAATTATTATTATTTTCAGAATCTGGGAATGCCAATAAATGTTGCTATGAAATTACAAATAAATCTAATTCTGCAAAATTTTACTAAAATTAAGTATGTATAACGTTCATTAGTTTTTTATCAAAAGTAAATTATAAACATCTTAATTTTCAGTTATATTAGAAAATAATTTCCATCTTGCATGTTAATAAATTCATATAATTATAACATATTTAATCAATTTTTTTTAATAATAAAAAAACAAATATTTAACCAAATTTGATTTTAAATAAATATTTTTATATTTAAGTTAATTTGCATTCAGTTTGCTTCAGAAATTAAGTATTAGAAGTTAACTATGCACATTCTGATTCTTGATCCTAGATTATGAATAATAGATGTTGAATATAAAAAATTGAAAAGTAAAAAATATTAACTGTGTCAAATTACAAATTTTTAGAGATTCTATTGTAATGTACTATATTAGTTTATATAAAATATTTAATGAATTATAAATAATTGATTTTAAAACAAATTTTTTTTATAATAGCCACTTTGCATATCTTCACAATGTGACATATTTTCCAGTTATTTGGTTTGATGAGGTAAGTTTTTTGTCATAATGTTAAATATGAATATAAAACTTAATGCTTTGCTTTGCTTTAAATTTTACTTTAATAATTTAGTAAGTTATTAAGAGGTCAATTCTAGTTCTGCTTCCTCAATTTCAAATTTTGGTCCTGCCCTCTCCTCCTCTGTGGTCTTAAATACATTTTTGGTACATCTGCTGAAAACTTAATAGCAAGTAGCCATGCTGAATAATGTACAGCATTTTAGTTAACAAAAAGCTGTACATTTTCAATAGACAGCATATTTGCTATCAGTTGCTATTTATTGCTATAAATACAGTACCAGTGGTAGCTCACTATAAGCACAGCGGAATTGAAGCAGCTGCAAATAAAAATAAAATTACAATGTCTCAATTTTTATTACATAGTAATTACATCAATTTTAATTGTGTACTAGTGGCTGTGCCCGTGAGGATTTTGCAAGCAAACCCTATTTATATTCAGTATTTCAACAACCATAGTAATTGTTATATAACACATACCGATGAGAATTGTCGAGAATCAAACAAACTATTTTCAATTTGATCAATTTTCTGGAACGTTTACAATCGTTCTATAATCGAACCAATATGCAATAATAAATTCAAATTGAAAACGGTTCGAACATTTTTAAAATCGAAATAGATAACATTTCAGACATTGTTATAAATATTTATCAATTTAATACACCTAAGTACTCAATGAAAATTAAACATAGTTGAAAATGAAAAATTGCATCTAAAATAGTACAGTAGAAGCCGTTCTTCTGGTTAAGCCTTAATCCTCTCCCTCTCTCCCTGTGGGGGAATTCCAAAAATTCCCTTCTTAGTGTGCATTTTCATGATGTACCCTAACTGTGTACCAAATTTCACCTCTAGGTTCAGCAGTTTGCTCTGGGTAATGACAAATCAGTCATTCAGTCAGTCAGGACAAGTAATTTTATATATTTAGATAACTTGTTTTTATTAAAACTATTGCTGATGGAAACAAGTAAAAGAAATAAAAATTATTCTATTAGGACAATTGTGTAGTTCCCTCCTACGACAACACTATTAAACAATGCGATGTCATCTACACCTTCCAATTAGACAACAATTCCACTAGTTGAGATGCTGCATTTTATGATTTGATGCAATGCTTGAGACAGCATTGCACTGTTTAAGAATGTGGCCACACAGCAAGAATTAGTTATTGAATCAGAGCAGAGGTGCAGAATGCTCAGTAACTTGTAAATGTTCATTTAAAATTTGATTTTTTCATATTAATAAGATTTTAATTTTATGAATACAGTATTTATTTTTTTTCCTTTTCAATACAAAACATTCATTAATGAGATTTTTAACTGTGTTAAGTTAGTAAGATATTTAACTGGAGATTAGTTTGGAAATTAAATAAAGCAAAAATAACTTTATAGTTAAAATGATTTTGCTGAAATTAAATGTTTCCAACCTCTGATTGTTTTGGCCGAGTGGTCAAGGTGAAGTCTGGGGACCCGGGATCAAATCTGGATGGGTAAAAAAATCCCCAGGAATTTTTCAGGGAGTGGTCTGACCGGATATGTGGGCCTGGCTGAACCCATAATTGGCTTGCTAAATAAGGCCCTCTTAGTGCCCACAGGGAAGAAAGAGTTCAAAAAAACCTCTAAGATTGTTATCAGGTAACAAAGCAAAATATATTAACTTTAAGGACTAACATTGCCCAGTGATGCATCCAGAGGGGAGGCCAAGGGGCCCAGGCAACCTCCAAAGAAAAAGGAAAGAAACATTAAAAACTTTTCCAAAAATCTTTTCCTAATATTCCGTTTATTTATACTGTCATGTATATTTCTATGCTACTTATGAATTAGCAATTACATAAGGTAGGAATTTTATTGAATTTGCACTAAAAAGTTTGTTTAACTCTGCTCCTCCCAAGATTAAATCCAAGTGTGCTAATGAACATGCATGCTCTAACACATTTTTACAGCCTGGAAAGTGGTTTGGTTTGAGTTTCACTTAGTTTACCTTGCTTTTGCATTGGTGTAATTATCATATAATCTATATTGTACAACTATAGATATGTTGTTTTATTTTTAATAACCATTTTAAATATAAAACGTTGTCACACTATCGGAACCTGTGACCGGCGCTCTATGCGTATACGTTAACTATCGCTTGACAAACGTTTTCGAGCATTCTATTCGCTCTTCTTCAGGTCAGCTGAAAGAATTCCCCGGATGGAGTGTATATTATTCTTCTCTAGGATCGGGTGTTGGTTCTGAGGGGGTGGGTCGCTTCCTGTGTGCACGGCCGTGCGGTGGGGGGGGGAAGCGGTGGGTTGGCGTCCAATAGTGATTGCCAGGCCAGAGACAAGGTTAGTTCCTCTTTCCGGTTAATGCAGGTGGTTAGCCGGTCGGCATTGTGGATAGCCGCTGCTTCCAGCCATCTGAGTTGCTGCTGGTGGGGCGTGTTGACAATAATGGTAGCCTTCTCGAAGTGTACTTCGATTTCGGGGTCCGATGCATATGTGGCTAGGGCTGTGGTCAGCCTCCCGTGCCGGATATCTGCTTGGTGTTCATGTAGGCGGGTGTTTAAGAAGCGTTTGGTTGAGCCGATGTATAGTAGTTCCGCGTTTTGTCTATTGTCACGGAGCGGGATAGAGTAGATTCCGGGGAGTCTGGTGTGATCAGGAGGGTCCTTATCGTTCCTTAGGATGCGGAAAATCGTGGTGCATCTTTTGTACACCAGTCGAATCCCGCGCTCTTTGGCTATTTTTCTATGTACAGTCTTGAGGTGAGGGTTGTATGTGATGGGGATCCGTGCCGGGTTATCTCGTTGTGGGTTGGCAGCGATCTCTGCGGTTAGGGTGCATTTCCGGCATTGGTACTGTTCAATTAAGCGGTGCGTCATGTTCGGGAATCCGTGTTCAGTTGCTATTTTTTTTTTTATGTGGGCTAATTCATTCGTCAGGGCTTGCTTGGTGGATGAGTGTGAGAACGCCCTCTCCACAAGAGCCCTAAATGCGGCTGCCTTGTATGGGAACGGATCACAGGAATCGGCTGGTATGTACGTGGGGGTGGATGAGGGCTTGTGGTATACGGCTGTTTGGATGGTGGGTCCTACTATCTTTATTTCGATGTCGAGGAAATGGACCTCCTCTGTGCTAGCTTGCTCCAGCTCGACCGTTAGGCCGAAACGGTTGTCGTTAACGGTTCCGACGAAGGATGTCATGTCGGGTATCTCCTTCCATAGGACGTATACGCATAGAGCGCCGGTCACAGGTTCCAATAGTGTGACATCATTTTAAATATATTTTAATTTTTTGCTTCTCCTGTTTTTATGTTTGCATATTATAGGTGAAGTTGAAATTCCAAATTGGTCTACTATTTCAAATGTGTTACCTGATGACAATGATCTCCAGTAGAAACATATAGAAACATTTTATTGGAGTTATAAAGCAAAAAAAAAAAAAAAAAATTTATATTGAAGACAGTGCCGTAATTAGCCATTCCTGTGCAAGAATTTGTAATCACTCCCCTTAATTAGGTTTGGGAAAATTAATAAAACAAATACATGGATTTTGGGCTCCCCTTTCAAGTGGGCCCTGTGTGGGTGCACCTGTTGCACCCGCCTATTTATGGCACTGATTGCAGAACATAAAATGTAACTTCTATCATTGTGAAAATACTTACAAAAAATTTAAACATATTAGTAATTACTTATCAAAGTTGGTTATAAAATTTGTAAGATTTACGTATAAAGTTGTCATTTTATTAATAATACAATATTTTTGAACCCAGCATTTATGAAAAATGAACTAGATTAAATTTTTTATANTTATATTGTTTGAAGTTTTTTATTCTAATTATAATTATTTAAAATCCCCATAAATGCCATCATTCTGAACTGTTTAATTTTGTCCTGGAGTTTATTTTATAAGTTATTTTGATTAATCATTTTTAATTAAAATTATGTGCATGTATAGTACAATAGGATCCACTTAAGCAAACTGCTTCTTTACCCAATGCTGTGTTAGAGGAGAAAATCAGCAAGTGCTCTTATTGGGAGTCTCACTAATGTAAAACATAGAGAGCACCTGATAATAGAACAGTCAAAAGCTGTATCTACTGCATGTTTAGAATAGCAGTCCATATAAGGAAGCACTATTATAAGGAATATAAGGGTCTATCTTTAATTTTAAGGTACGATACATCACTGCCCATGGTGCATGATGGCAGTTGTCTACACCAGTGGTTCCCAACCTTTTCTACAGTATTCTTCCCCTATGGGATTCATATGCAATGGCACCTTCCCAGCATGTGCACAAGTGTTTATTGCTGTGTATTCAGTTTTTATTTTTGTTTATTACAAATTAAATGATACCGGTAAGGTTTGATTGAAATTATGAAGCAAAAATACAATTGCTCCTACTAAAAATAGATATAACTACCTATACAATTCGCACAAATAAAATAAAATGGGTAAAATTGTACAACCAAGAGTTTATTCCTCCTGAATAAAGTTTTAAAATTATATATTTTTTAAATTTCCATTTTTTTCTTAAATTGTAAATATCAATGTGGAATTTAAGCTTGTTTTGAATTGCACAAATGATCCATGTTTGGTTCTAACCCTGTCAGTCCTAATGCAGGTCATTCTCCACATTAATTAAGCAGATTTCTGTACTTGGATTTTCGGCAATGTCTGCAGTTAAAACAAACTTCGCACAGATAGCTCGTTGGAAATTGAAGGGGCAGTTCCAGAGCACTTTTTGTAATTTTTGTTTCGACCTGAGAGCCAAAATTCTGTAAGTGAATTTTTGTGAAAGACTATTTTTAGTGTCTTGTCACCCGAAAGTTCAAGTAGTCTTGACCAACGATGCTTAATTCTGAAATATCACTCTGTTACGGAGAACTGATCTCGAATCCAATCGTAGGTGTGACTGATGATCTGAGGAAAGTAATCATCAAACTGGTTTTTCAGTGCAGATAGGTTCACCGCTACTCTTTCTACTACAGAATTTATAGTAGTTATTATCAGCTTACTCTGGTATGAATTTGGTAAGCAGTGAAAACATTTCTAACTCCACAGTCGATACATCTAGCTTCTTCACGAAGCCTTCAATTTTGTCCTACGCATCCAGAATATAAGTTGTGCAAAACAGCACACTATTAGGTTGCTGAAATAACTAACATTTTAGTACAAGTTACCAAACCAGAAGCTAAATGAAATATGATTCATAGACAAAATACAAAATTTTTTTTTTTCAATAAAAATGAATGGCCATTTTAATAATCTAATTCCCGGTAAATTTTAAACATTTTTTTAAAAAACGAGTTAAATCTTAAACAAAAATCAACGTAAATATTATGGTTCTATTTCTTTACTCAAAACCATTATCTGCCTATAAAGGCTCTTTCTCACGGAAAAATCTGTACAACGAATTTTGAGAAATTTTTCTTTTCCGTACCACCAAACCAGTGCAGAAAAACGTGTCGAGCAACTTCTAACTTTTCATTTACAGAATACCAAAAAGGACTTTCTCGTACTGATAGCAATCAGGTAGAGATTTAAGTCGTCACCATGCGTGGTCTCGCTTGCGTAATAGTTACAAAAGAATATAGAATTTGAAATAAAAAAAGCAATCGGGATTTTTTAGAATCGTCTATAGAAGAGATTTAAAAACATTCTCATCCATTGACACACACAGGCATGCCAACTAAATGCTACAATAGCGTTGTCCTCCGTCTTGTCCGTATCGGCTGTGACGTCATTATAATAATAGCCAATATCGGATTGCTTAAATTCTTTTCCGGATCTGACGAAGTCCCGATGTATATTTCGGATGGGACCGGTGTAGAATTACTTTTCTGTATTCTTTTCCGCATTACTTTTACGCAGTGATTTTTCTTGCGCGAGAGCGATCTTAAGAAGAAACGAATCGAAATATTTTTATTTGAATACGAAAGAAAAAAAAAATAGACAAGGATATTTTATATTGATTTTATTTTAGATACATTTCAAATGTTTAGAGGAGAAGGTGGTATTATGGAACCCCAATTACATTTTAGTGAATTGTAAACAAGGTATCATAACTACACCCACAAAGTACTTGTAACTATTAAACTAAATGTTCCTAATTGGATTTTTCGTTAGTGTAACTATAGGTATGGTTTTGAAGGCTTTTGTACAAAGTCAGAAAGTAGGCTTAGAGAAAATCGGGTGGAAATATGGAACCTTACTGCATATTTTCAAAAAATGCTTTAATGTAGCCAAAAACAAATAGAAAAGTACAAAGAATGTTAAATACATTTACTCCAATGTATTTTAACGCAAAAATGATTAATAATAATAATAGAAATGTACAAAGAAGCTAATCATTTACAAAAATCACAAATATAATGCTCCGTTTCAACATCAGCACAATCTTTGTGCCCACATTATTTTTCAAATAAATAAACATAAAAATTTGAACTTGCTTGTAGACTATTTACCAGACGATACTGTCACTTCGCGCATGCTCAGTTTCGCTATTTTGTAAGCAGACGATATTTTTTCATGAAAAAAAATGTTTATTTTGATTGTTATCTTGCATTTTATTTCTTGCTAAGATAGTATTTAAATTTAAAAAATGTTTTCATAAATAAAATAAAACGTAAAAACATTATTTTATGGTTTGAATTTGTTTGGTAATACTGAACACCAGGGGAGTTGGGTTCCATATTAAAAGCACCAATGGGGTCCATATTTCACGCATCTCCATCTTGGGTTAACTTAATTCCTGTCGGCACCAAACTTTAAAAACGTAAATCACACAGATTAATATAATGATCATTTTTAATTGATTTTTCGTTCCTGGACGAATCGTGTATTATGTTTTTATTAACCTGTTGGTGATTATTTTGGCATACTTTTGCGTTTGAGCTTGATTTTTCCTTAATTATTGTCGGGATAAAATCGTCCGTCATACGATTTCCCACGCTTTTTCGTCTTTTCAAACGAACGACGGTTGTCGCCATGAGAACGACAATCTGGCGACTTCGGAAACTCGACCGCGGATTGGCTGGAAGCCATCGAATGACTAGCGGACGTCTAGTAGCGCTACTATGCGCTGATTGGTGGAATCCGATTTGCTTCAATCCGTATAAAAGGATTGAGGTTAGGTGGGAAGATTGGTTCGCCTAGGATATATCAAGGGAACTTACGTTCGTCTAACTTCGCCTAAGCTGGCCTAGAGGATTGTTTCGTCTCGCTGTGCGGTGAATAACGTTGGAAGGAGTTCGTCACAAGATGTCTTTTCGACGGACCTGTTTTCGTGGATTAAAGGTATTTGAACTTTGTTACACCTGACGTTTTGTAATTGTTATTTGTGAACTTTTGTAACTGTACATACGTTTTACTTGTAATATAAACGTTTTTCAGGAAATTCAACGACTATTATCATCAATACTTTACACGTAATTTTTTTTGCAGGCGTGTGGGGACAGATGAGTTGCGCAGGGCCGGCGCACTGATTCGCCTAGACGGCCATTTAACTTTTTGAAAATACGTCGACATCAGAATGAAAGGTCCATTTATGGATTCGATACAGGATCAGCATCAGCCGTTCGAATAGTTTTGCGACGTGAGAGGTAAGAGAGATCGGCCAATAAGAGGAGCATATCGTCGCTGGGCGACCCGGTTTTAATGATCGGAACAACGGTAGAAGAGGTCCAGTCTGGTGGGCAGGACTCTGAGGTCGTTTAAGAGATTGAAGAGAGCCTAGAGGCCCACATTTGGGAGGGTCCGTGTGCGCTTACGCCATCTGGACTCGGTGTAGTGTTCCGAAGATGGTGTATGGCTCGGCGGAGTTCGAGGAGATGAAAGGGGGGAAATCGTCAAACTTTGGGGCCTTCAGCCGTGATCGTCGGCGGGGATCTCAGCCGACGGAAGATGCGATGGAGGGGGAGAGAGGCACACAAACGACCCCACAACTCCAGACGAGCCTGACGGCTCTTCCGACGGAGTTTCGCTCCTAATTGTTTATATTTATTCCACCAGGAGTGAGACGTCCGCCTGCAGGCTAGGCGGAACGCACGATGTTTAAGCGCTATAAGGCGGCTGCATTTATGCCCGAGGAGAGAATGGAGCGAATTATAGTATTAGAGGACCGCGTCTCACGAATAGTGTCTACAAAGGCGTTATATGAGGCGGGAATAGATTCCTCGGTGGTCCAAAGCTGATTGAGGTTATTGAAATAACGACTCCAGTTTGTAGTAAAGTGTAAACGAGGGTAGTCGTCGGGTTAGGGGTGCCCGAGATAAATAGTGATCGAAATAGGAGCGTGGTCACTGGTTAAGGTATCCACGCAAGGGCTCCACAAGGCGGAACCTAACAGGTCCGGGGAGCAGAAGGTCAGGTCTACAGCTGATGATCCGTTTGGGTGGAAATAAGTTGGTTTCCCTGAGTTCCAACAGCATAAGTTCGCGGATGAGAACCAATCGAAGAGGATGCGGCCCGCGATGTCTGGGCGTTTGCACTCGTTATCCCAATAAGGATGATAAGCGTTCCAGTTCCCGCACACTATGCGAGGGTGGTGATTGCCCCGCAAAAGGGGATCCAGTGTCTTCTCCAGTCCGGCTTTCATCTTTCGCCGTCGACGCAAGCGACTCCACGTTGCCAGACGAAGAAAATATGAACGTCTACACTTCCAGCCAGCATTAATGTCAATTTCTTCCGCGGCGCAAAGGTATCGTCGGCTTTACAGTACAGGCGTATTGTCTAAGCACGGAAGGACGACGATGGCAGTGGGGAAAATATTAAAGTACTTAGTTGCAGGTTGTGTTTATCTACTTATCACAAAAAAAGTTTTTTTAATACGGATGTCCGTCATATCGGTTCATATTGTCGTATCGGAGACAGTTTACGTAGCATATACTTGTGTAATTAATTAAAATACGGGTATATATACAGTATATACACGCACAACCCATTTTGCTTAATATATCGTATTTCGGTGGTGTAAATTTATATATAAAGTATATTATTTGCCTTTTCGTTTGTAAGAATCTCGATTTAATTGAATTGTAAATATAAAACGGACCGGACGGGATACTTTAAATGACCCACAAAAATTACGATAAAACGTAAATACTAGTACATTAATTAATAAGTCAAAAAACGATGAAACTTGTTATAAACGGAAGGGTGGGTTTAGGCAGAGCTCGAATGTCCAGTTCCAAGGTGATTTCCTAGTCGCTTCGATGGTTGGGAAATGTGTTCGATATTTTTGCGTTTATATCATTTACGATTTAAGCGACTAATAAAATTCGATATATGGATTTGTCTGTTTTTATTGATAGTTATGAAGTATGTATAATTTTTCTAATATTCTTCCTTTTTTATCATGGAATTGCCAAACCATGTAATTATTAGTTGAATTTTAAATAGGTCAAACAAATTTGTTAAAATTTTAAATGTCAAACTGATTTTTCTTTAAATTTTCATTTTCATTCTGCTGTGAAAGCATGTCCCCTGCATTTAGGACATTGTTATTTTCATTTAGCCATTGGACTAAGCAGCGAGTATGGAACTGGTGTCCGCACGGTAAAACTGTCAGACTTTCTCCTCCTTGAATGTCACTAATGCATATCACACATGATGTTTGATTGGAACGACGAATGTTAAAATTAAGATAAACATTACTTGTTGCTGAATATAATTTTGTATTGTATCCACGCACTTCTGGCACTCCTAATATTTTGTGGAGTGCCATTAATTCGTGGACCACGACGATCGTGATGGCTAATTGTTGAGAAATTAAACGGTCTATGTCCAGAAGCAGTTTCAAATCGTGCATTTTGGTTTAGCAGCAGAGCAGGTGATAAATGCTGCGAAGTTTGTTCAGAAGTGTAAACTTGTCCCATATTATATGCAATGGCAATTTGTAATTGAATTAATGGCCCACTAGGAGGTCGATTAACGTTTGTTATTCTTATTCTTCTTCGTACATTTCTATTTGTTAGAAGTAAAGATAAATGGTCCAGAAAAGTTTGGTGATAAGACCGCATTCTCCTCCTCCTCATTTCTTTCTGTGCCAGGCATTACTTAATAATTATTTATTCTTGTTTTGTCGTAATTTCTTTCCTTAACAAAATGACAATCGAAGTTCAATGCCTCTTTGAGAAATTGTTAGCACGCATTGTTGAATGTTTTAATTGTCGGCCCAGTTTGCTGGAAAAAACAAATTTTTTTTCTAGCAACACATTTTTCTGACAAGTTAAATTAAAAAATAAAATTAAAATCAACTTTAGATTCGTTGTCCATTGTAAGCTAAAGTATATTTTTTTTCAACAAAATCATTGAAATTCAATTCGTTTAATAAATCAGACTCAATATTTACGACTGAAAGATAGAACAACCTATCATGCAATATTGTAATTCGGTATTTTTTTTTCGTATTTTAATTAAGAAAAAGAACGTTTCTTAGTGCAATTCGTTATCAGAAAACAAATAAATATGTCGGAACAGGTAAACCCTCCGTTGGGAATTCCTTAAGGGAGCCTTCGAGCTTTCCTTGGCTCCGGGTCTCGCACGTACCAAAGACGAGCCTGAGTCAAGTATACACTGCAAATAATTTTTTATATAATGTTCCAAATTATATAGTACTGAGAATTTAAAATCCACTAATGGTCTAAAAATCTGTCCCACCTTGTGGGTTTTAAGTCTAATATTAAGTTGAGGGATATGTACATTATTAAAATTTACTATCTTCTTAAAATCTTGACTTGTGAACTCTTTTCTATGTTTTCATTAATTTAATTAGTTTCTTTTTAATATCTTCTGTTGGATCACTTGGCAAAACTTCATATTCATCTGTAGCTACTATATGTTTTTTCTTTTGTTGTAAGTCTGAAGTGCATGAGATTTATCTGCTTTTATAATAGAAATTTGTTTATTTTTAAAGAAACTTAATTAGTTTATTTGTTTTTTTATTAATTTTAATTGATATCGAAATCGAAAAAATGACACAAAATGAATAAGATTGTTAATGATGAAGTAATATTTAATGACGAGTGGGACTCTTCATGTGAACAAAATGATTAAATGTAAGCTAAAATTTTAGGAAATGGCATAATAGTGATGATAGATATTATATGTAAATATTAATACTTTGTAACGCTTACCACCTAATTTTCATGTAATTATGTATATGGACAAATGCACATAAAGTTTTTGTAATCCATTCCCATATTTTTTATTGTTATCACTGTTTGTAAAGAAAATATTATATGAAAATGTCTATTCATTTGAATACTATTACTTTGATTTGTTATTTTTTCAAAGCTTATGCTTGCTAAAGCATGTACCACTTTGTATCACAATATCCCCTATATGTAAATAATGTATATAATATGTAAATAATTTGAGGTATTGTGAATTTTTATGTAAGTTGGTGGAAACAAATACCAACTCTTTAAGTAACTTGTGTACGGAAAACAAAGTTTTAATGTTTATAACTGCTACAGCATGTTGCTGAAATGTAAGTTAATTAGTATTCAATAAACTTTTATTAAAAAAAAAAAAAACATAAAAAACGTTAAAAGGGCATAAATAAACGATATAATCGTATTTTCTGATGGCATAATGTCATATTTTTATTTAAAAACTAGCAGGTAGGCCCGGCGTTGCAAATAAATTGAACCAAAGTTTGCCGGTTCAATTTATTTGCGATATGTGTAGGGCATAGACAACTTGCTATTAAGCATATTTCATTACTATTTGTTTGAGTTCACTAATTCATTTATATTGCTCTTAACTTGCATTAGGATGTTTTCAATTACAGTATTATCTGTTTGATTTTTTGTAATTAATTTGTGTTTACATTTTCTTTATTTATATATGTCTTTTAACTCGAATTTCGTTGTTATAATAATAAATACATTTTTGGACTTGCATTTCTTTGATTTAATTAATTCATTAATTAATTATATAATTATTTATATAAATCTCCTTAAGGACTTATCCCGAGATATCTCGGGCAAGTTCTATAGCCTTACATAAAACTCGGGCGTTTGGACCCTCTGAAAAAAATTTTTTTTCAACTTTTGGATGTTTTTTAGGTCTCCAAATTTTTTCAAAAATTTTTACCCGCGCGAAAAAATTTTATCGCGATTTTAATTTACTTTTAATGACACACGATTAACGCTTAATTGTTTTTAATGCGATTTTTTTTTATCAAATTTAATTAATCGTTCTAAAGTTGTAGTGCACGGATTTTACTTCGGTAAAGTTATTTAAAGCTACTTTCTGATATCAAAAACGGCCTCCAATAGTTGTTTAATTTTTTTAATTAATAGATTTTATTATATATAAGTTTAATTAAGTCGGAGGGTCGGAAATCGCAATAAAAATTTTATTTTTTAAAAAATATTTAAAAATATACGGCCAGCTAGTATTCACCCTACTTTAAACCCTTGTCCTCCCGAGACGTCTGAGAATGTCCCGGGAAACCGACACCAGCTGTTGTCAAGGTCATCCAGCTGTGTAAACAATGGCTCATTGCTGTCAAATTTCGCAGAAAGGGGAGACAATGGAAAATAAAGTTTGGAGCTTTTGCTTCAAAATTAACGCAATTATTTTGTATTTTTCAGTTTTAAATATCTTTTATGTTTAATTACATTAATATCATGAATTGGAAAGTCGCAAAGGAGTTTTAATAGTGAATTCCAATTTATAAATTGTCAATAACAAATTTATATACCTGTCTATCTTGCCCCATTATTGTTGCCGAAGTTGTCCCTATACCAGGGGCAACTTCGGCAACTGCTATCTTTTTATAAAGTTATTATTCTTATGATTATTTTTATTTCCAAACTGATTTTAACCAGTTCTATAGTAAGGTAACATTCTACTAGACAATAAACAAAGCTTTTTTTCAGTTTACAGCAATATTTGTTACACTAAAATTAAATTATTCTTAACGTGCCGAAGTTGCCCCGTCCTCCCCTATTAACATTTTCTAAAAAATATGTCGAATTTTAAAATGAAATATTTTAATTTTATTCGTGCTGCACAGGTTAATATCAGCTTGGCTTCTCAGAATTCCGCGACACAGGAGCTGAGATTTGGGGTCTCGCGCTACTTGAATGTTTTTAAATATTAATTTTTTAAAAATTACATATTAAAGTTTTATAAAAAAAAATCTCATTTTGTAAGAACAAATCTTTTATATTTGTTTTAGATAGGGATCTCGAGAATTTTTGACGTGGTATTTAAAATTATAGTTAAGTCACTGTATAATACAGTATTTATTGTAGTAAATGAACCCTGTTTACATTTCATTTTATTATATAACACTATTTGATTTAGCTTTAATTTATAATAGTTTATATTTTAAGTAATATTTACGTGCCATATTTTTCACATAATAAATTTTATTCGTCAATTTAAAATACAGTGGAACCTCTATATTCGTGATTAATGTGTTCCTAAGGACCTAACGAATATGGAATATAGAAACAATTTTTCTCATAATAAATAACTGATATTCAACTGATCCGTTTCCATCCTGAAAAAAAGTACAAGAATAAAAATGATGATGTTTGTAAAACTTTACTGTACTAAATAAATACAGTAAAGATAGTGGTAGAAGGGGAAGAACAGTATTATTAATATACTATATTAATAAGTCTTCTAAACAATAATACTATATCAATTAAAACATTAGGCAAATCCAATTATGATCATAGGGTCTGTTTTGCCGATGATTCAGTAGCACTCTATTTAATAAAGAACTTGTCCAATGTTGTGTTTTTTTTTTTTTTTGTCTGCTTTTTAAAACTTTTCTGAAGTAGGCAATTACATTATCATTGAATGTATTTGTATTTTGGTTGACTATAGCAACATTTGGGTGCCACTTTTGAGCGATCAGAACTTGGTTTCTTGCATTGATTATTTTTCAATAATTCAACAACACTCACGACGACCGCACAAAGCAGACTGATTGACTGCAGCTAGCTAACACGGCTAGCTGATCGGCGCGGGCGTGCAATTGTAGTGCCACTTCCGGTGTTGGGAATGACGACGAATACAGAAAATACTGACGAATATGGAAAAATAAAAAAAAATCATTAAAATGTAACGAATATAGAGGTTCCACTGTAATTTAAACAGCATGATTTGATCTAAAAATTGGGTTAGGATCAAACGAATCATTTCAATTTTATGAATCAATTCGCTTAGATTCCAGTTTGGAAGTTTTACAGATACTTACTCTGTGAAATAGCCTAATTACGTAAAATATTGCGATTGTGGTTTAAAATGATTTATTTAAAAATTAATTTTAATATAAGTTTAAAGTAAATAATCGTAAATATCATTAGAATTTTAATCATTAGAACCTCATTAATGATTTCCTCTCTTACAATCTTTCGATTTAGAATATTTTTGAACGTGACTTCTTTCGGACAATCGAAAATTAGTTCGTCGCTTTTTTATTTCTGATTTTTTAACCGAATTACTTTTTGGAAAATATTCCTTTCTTTTCTTATAGAGAAATGCCATAACACTAGCCATGTGTTCCAACACTTCTACGATAGTTATTGCGGAAACACCAATGTATAATCCCAGACATCCACCGAGATCGGCAAAGAGTTGAGGCAGCTGAAAATAAAAATTTTCAATAATATAATTGAAATATTTTAAAAAATAAATATTATATTCCTATATCGCTTTCTCGTTAAAGTAAATGTAAATATAATTCGTAGCGAATCCTCGATGATAGATAGAAACTCTCTTAACGTTTGAATGACCTGACCTAGCAACATTATGGTTCTTGACCTCATCGATATACAGTTGCGTGCAGCATACAATTTGTCAAATGTCCAAAATATCCACTCTAGACCGTTTCCGCAATTTTTATATAACTATTCCGTTAATGTCTCCTCCTCCGCCATTCGATCTTAAGAATCATGCTTTCCGACATGTTTTTATCATTATTGTATATATGTTTTAAGTTAGTCGTAAAAACCTACTTTACAATTATATAAAACATGTTTATTGAAAATAATTTTTAGTAATATGTTAAAGCATTACCGTGTAAGCGGGAATATCTCTAACGGATAGGTAATTCATTTCTTGAATATAAACGTGAACCCTCAAGAAATTTTTCCTGGAAAAAAATTGACGTTAAATATTAATATAACACAGAAAAATGTGAATTAATTTATTATATTATTAATACCTAAGATTATCCACATCTAATTCGTCACTTCCGTTTTTAAGCGTTTTATTCGTAAGAAAAACTGTTAAACTCTGTCTTAAATTTGGCCATCTTTTCAATACATAATTTTGATGTCGAACGTTTGGCCATTCCGACCTCGATACTGTCAGATCGTATCTTACGTCCCTAAAAACACCGAATTACAAATTCATTGCTAATTATTTTAATAAAGAAGAGATTCTAAATATAAAACTTACGTGCAAGCGGGTAGACAAAACTTCTGACAATCGTGATCTACGTTGGCTCTAGTAAAACTTCTATAAAATCTTGTGCGACATCTCGCTTTGTTTCGTAAATTTTGTTAATCGATGAAAACGTAAATAAAGAAACTTGTTTACATTACCTACCTTGTGTTGTGTTACAGGGATCGCAGAATTTATTGTTTACCGGAGTTACTTCTTCGACGCATCCGCAGTTCTTCAGAAGATGAATATCGCGACATAAAGTTTGGCAATACTATTTTTATTAAATTAATGATAAATTATATTATAATTATTACAAGAACTTAAAAATACGGTAATACGGTATACTTCGTAAGTGTAAACATTGTGAATGACGGCAAAAGGAGCTTGACTTTGATCTTGTTTTCGTAAGAAATGAATCAGTTGACTACTCTGAAAATTATCGTAACATCCTCGATAAGGTGCGGGTAATCTCTCGATCTTCCTCTAGAATTATATGAGATAATTACCAAAATATAAATTTATTTTAAAATACAGTATATAGTTTGTTTTATGAATAAAATATAAAATAATGTATATAATATTTGGCTTTTTTCGCTTTGTGGGGGCACTAGAAAGCTTTTTTGCCAATTTTCATCATGGGTTTGCCAGGCCCTCAATGAGGACGACCTGGTGGTAAGGAACGAAGTCCGACATATCCGAGACAATTCCACCCGCGAAAAATTCAAATTTTCGAGGGAATTACTCATCCTGATTCAATTATGAATTCTCCAGATCGGTAGGCTGATGCCTTAACCGCCCATCCGGCCGTTAAATGAAAAATATTAATAAAATTTACAATTATAAAATATAACGAAAAACTAAAAATTTTATTTTTATTGGAAGAAGAAAATGATTTTCATAGTAAAGGCAAAATTGCGCGGTCTTTCATAAGAAAGCTCAAGGATAAATAGAGATAAAATCTATCATAATTTACCATTCTCACTCCGACATAAGTTTTAGTTCCAGGTTGTAATACCACACCCCCACCTTGCAGGGTAGGATAGGTTCCTTTCGGGTGTACTAATAATCGTGCACCAAATTCGGGAGACACTAAGTCCAAATAATCTTCGCGCTCTATATTTAATGTCAATCTCAATCCTAAAATTATACAAACTTAATATTTCTCATCTAAATCTGTACAGAAATGTAAATAAAGTCAAACTTACCTAAAGAAAGTCCCGTCTTTTTAACTTTTCGTAAAGGTTCTTTATCGACTACGATGGTATGGCACAAACCATAACGGGGCGAAGGATATTGATCCAATAAAACTATCGTCGAACTACGAATATTATTCAATTATTAAAAAGGTATAATCTTAATAAATGTAAAATTAATTTTAACTTACCTGTCATTAAAGCAATTTCTTGCATTATAAGTGCATTGAGTGATCAAATCCTGCGCTTGATGTCCGCATTTCATCAAGCTATCTTTAGTCGCAATAACGCTCATCCATACGTCACTTAAGTCCATGGTTTTACTCTTTTTTAAAAATTCGTTTTCCGATCTGAAACATATTCCTCGCTCTTCGATTTCGTCGTCGTCGTCGTATTTATCCGGGTTATAAAATTCGGATACGGACTGGTGAGTTTCCAAAAGATGTTCTCGAATAGAACTCTTTTTTAATGGATTGAGATTGCAAACAGTTAATGCGGGAAAATCAATATGATCGGCATGAATTTCTTCAGTAATAGTCATTCGCGGATAAGATAAATAAGTCAGTATCAAGTAAACACTGTGAAATCCGCATCCCGCTATAGCAAATAAAAATACAACCGACCACATCAATCTCCTAGCGTTATCTTGGGAACTGGCTATCCTCTGCACTCCATGAGCCGACGATCTGTAAGCAAAAGATCGACACAAACCACACAAAGAACTATTTTGACTTTGCGCTTCTAAATTCAATTTTCTCATAGAGGACGAAAGGACCGTGTGATCGCAAACTGACGTAAACGACGGCTGACATCTAAATGATGCTTTCTGGATATTCTTAGAAACTACGTCATAAACATTCAATTCAGTTAATCATCAAATGAAATTTTCATCTTTTCAATTTTATCATTTACAACTAATACATTTAAATTTCAAAACAATTTATATTAATTATTATTTATTACATTTTATTACGACAAAATTAGAAATCTCTCGTAAAAAACTATTTAATGAATATAAATTGAGTTTAAACGTTTCAGACTCGGCCAATCTAACGACAAAAGATGTGTGAAAATATGTATATTCTAATTTAATGGAATTTGAATCTATATTGAAATTTTAAATTTTGTTCAAGAGCATCTAAAGCGTAATTTAAAAACAGATTATTGCTCGAGTATTTGACGATTTGTAGGACAATTATTACTTATATACAGCTATTAAAATTACAGTATATAATATATACAGTACTGAATTTTTTTTTAACTTAATAGAATTAAAATATCCTGTAAACGTATATTCTTTACATTATAGAACCGTAAATGGTTAAATTTTCTTTCATGGTATCTTGTAACATAGAAAATATATTTCTTCAATTTTTTCGCATTAACTGTTATATATTTAAATATACAATAATTTACATTAGAAACCGTCAACAATTACATCATAAACTATTAGGTGCATTTAAATTATATGTAAACTTCTAATAACAAATGTAAGACTCGAGAAAAACTGATTTTACAACAGTAATACGATACCTCAAACAATGCTTCATAAAGTACAGATTAAGATTTTTCTAGAATTTTGCCTAAAGTATTTATTATTTCTAAAATAAAAAAGTCATGAATTCGGGCAGTACAAATATTGCCGTCCAGTACCGACCAGTTACTATTCTAAAGGATATAATGATTTTCCGCCCGAATCTTTTTTTTTTCTTTTCTGGGTCACTATCATTATCTTCCTTTTCTCGGATAAATTCGTCCAACCAAAAGTACACAATTTGACATTTTTGTTATTTTGTGGTGAAGAGAGAAGTATCCGAACAGCCATTGTCATATGGCAGAAGTAGAAAACTGTCGACGATATATGGCATCCATGTAATATGTGGGTTCATTAGCCAATAGAAATCAGTCATAAAGAATGCCAACCTCTTATTATATAGGGCCACTACTATATAAGACCTGGAATTGAATCTGGGAGGAGAATTCTCAGGAATTTTTCACGTTCGGTCTGTTCCGGATATGTCGGGTTCTTTCTCTCACCCCTCGGCAACTCTATTGTAGGCCTGGACGAACGTTAAAATGGGTACGGAAAAAGGCTTTCTTATTACCCATCAGTAGCGTAGCCAGAAATTTAGCAAGGAGGTGCAACCAAAAAATTCAAGGATATCGAATGTTGTTTGAATAAAACTGCAAAGCGAAAGTACACAAAATTATATGATATATGTTTTATTGAATATAATTGGTTTATAATTTTATATCAACCGAATATAAAGTCGAACTTCCAGCAAGGGTCAATTTATTTTTTGAACAAAAATGCATACAAAATAATTTTCAAACAATGGTCACTCCCTAGCCACTAAAAAATTCAATTTTTAACCTTCCAAACAATGGCAGTGGCCATTATTGGCAGGTTATCAATAGTAATTACACTGACTATAGTAATTACAGTGCATTATTATTTATACCTTATGAAGTGACTACAGTGCGGACTATTAAGGCTGGTATACACGGTAAGGAAATCCTCAAAGGATGTGCTTAACAGACGAAAAAAACTCGGATATAACTGGCTGGATCGAACATAGTAATTTACAAAACTTATTAAAATATCTTCCAACGTATAAAGGATTATTTTTATTTAAAAATGGATAGATAGAAAAAAAANAGAAGCAAACAAATGGTGATAATAGAGAGTTGACTATATTTACTGAAAACAAATATTTTCAACTTCTTAACAGGTCCTCACTAGGTTATATAAACACTTGAAGCTCAAGTTTTAACTACTATCAATATTACCAAAGGTTCAGTGTCCAATAGCAATGGAAAGCTAACATTGCTTAATCAAAGTCAAATCACATGTAAATTTGTTGGATGTTAGTTTCTTAGGCACTTACATACAGTTTGATGTTTGAATATGCAACATAAGTCTTCTGTTGCTATTGGATACCAACTTTTGGTGCTGAGGAAAGTAGTTAAGAGTTGGCTCTTGTACCTAGAATGCAATGAATAGAATTTGAACATTAGTGCAATTTGAAAGAAGACATTAAAACATTTGTTTTCAGTGAATAAGTTTTCTGGATAAAATATTTTTTAAATTTACATTATTTCAGTTATTTATTTCTGTTATGAGATTTGTGTGTTTTGGTTTGTTAGAAAAATTCAAATTATTCTTACATAATATTTTGTTTCATAGTATTATATATTAAGTACAATAAATTTATGAAATTTCAAAAATATATAAATATTAATTATATAAATGACTAATATTTATATTATTTCATAACATACATTTTTAATTTCAAAATTTTAATGGATGAATTCAACTAAGAAAAACAAATTATAGAATATAAGATGATAAATATGACATTTTCTGTTTAGTAATATTTACAGTATATTAGTAAATAAAAATATATATAGTGCTTAAATGTCAAATATGTTGCAATGATATTTTTTGTAGCTGATAAATGTGTATTTATTTACAAGAAAAAATTGATAATTGTCAAAAACTATCATTATGCAGAAATGAAATTAATAATAATTGTGATATTGATGTAGAATTTACACAATGAGTTCTTATTTCATATAAAACAATAAAACTTGTACATGCTATACAGTTTGTTTGATTTGGCTACTCAAGTGCCAATTGTAAATTTTATATCAATTATATTGCATTTGGTCTAGTGTATTCTACTAATATTTATATCATGTTTATATCACATCTGCAGTTTTAAATTACAATTTTAAGATTAAAAATTAACAGAATGATGTATGTAAGACAATGCTAAAGTTTAGACAAGAAACAAAAAAATGATATAACTCAAAATCTCAAAAACAAATTTTTGTTTGAATTCAAATTATAATTTTATAAGATAAAATTGATCATGAGAATTAATTTGTATTTAAAAATAGTAATTGCTATAGTGTAGATTAAATATTAATATTCCTGATCGTAAACTTATATCATCATAATTTTTTTGATACCATGACAATTCATGGCATCAAAAATTTCCAGTTTGGAAATTTAATAATAGAAAAAATATGTTGCTCTATTATGCAGATATATATATGAAGCATAATATAGATAGTTTAATAGAATCTTAATCTCTTACATAAATATCTGCTGCTCTGAGATAAAACTACATTTATAGTAAATTTTTGGATTTTTAAAAATTTTTTCAGTAAAATTTGAACTTGAACATTTTCAAGAAAAACTTTCCTAGCAGTTTTTTATTTTTTTAATAAAATAATCAAATTATTATTCAAGCTTAGTTTTGTGATACATTGAAATATATTTCAAACTTGACTTTTTTTTTATTTAGTTGTTTGTTTAAAATTTCAAATGAATTCTCTGTAACAGAAATTTGGGTTATTATTCAATAGGTTAAGTTTTTCAGTCAATATTAATTTTTGTTTTTTTTGACTTTCCACCCTGTGTGCATTAAGGATTTTTTATTATTCCAGTTGTGGCCAAGCACACAATGGGATGGTCAGGTGGTGAGGAACAGAGTTTGATGCATCTGTGATGGACCACCCACCAAAATATTTGTGTTTTCAAACTGCCAGATTCAATCCTGGGTTCTCCATAGTGGCAGGCTGATGCTTTAACTGCCTCGGCCATCTGGTTGGCTAATATTAAATTTCAAAACAAAGTTTAAAAAATTTGTGAACATTTTATTTACATATCTTTAT